CGGGCGCCGCGCCCTGCTCCCAGCCGCGCCTCCGCGAGCCGCCCGGGCCGGAGCCTGGGACACGTGGCCCGCGCCAGAAGTGGCTCTGTCCTCCAGCGCCCGGCTGGGCTGTGCGGCTCTGACCCGGGAGGAATAAACGTCCCAGGCGGTGAGCCACCCGCACCCTGGCCTTTGTGCTCACCTTTGACTCGCACAGCCTCCTCGAAGAGCAGTTCCTTATCTGTGACAGCGTTGATAAGTCACCCGCCCTGCTTGCAGCGTTGAAGATGAGTTTTTCTGATCCGTTTCAGCGAAGTTGGGCACTGATGCCTTTCATGGCCACCAGCAAGATACCTGCTCTTCCACTTTGTAGTGTAGGGCATTGGGCAAGTTGCTTCTAACCTCCTGACTCAGTCTCTCAGAGGGGAAATAATAGTAGCTGTTTTGTGGGGTGTTGGGATGAGCAGAGCCTGGCTTCTTGTAAGCACTTGGGATGTGTAGCTTGTTATTCCTGTCCTTGTTATTCCTATTTAATTCGGGGCCTCTCTTTGCTCAACCTACCCCAGTCCCCAGGGACCTAAGTGCAGCATAAGAAGGTCCAGGTTTGAGCTCAGTCCCTTGAGGGGATTTCCCTCAGGAAGGGACGTTTCAGAGCCTGTTTCCCTACTTCTGTCTCCAGAGCCCAAAAGCTAAAGTCTGATTAGGGCTAGGGACAGGTATTTTCCATTGCTTTCTTCCCTAATCCTACATGGTTTTGGGTTTTTTTAAAGTATACTTAAAATCCAAGCTATACACTAGGAAGTTTTGAGTCATGCTTCTAGGAATGTCTAGTTTTGTTTTTAAAAATCAACAGACAGGCCGGGTGTGGTGGTGCATGCCTGTAATCCCAGGATTTGGGAGGCTGAGGCGGGAGAATTGCCATGAGTTGGAGGCCAGTCTAGACTAGGTGGTGAGACCCTGTCTCAAAAAACAAACAAAAACCCCAAAAAACCAATAGGCAAAATTTCCTTAAGTAAGTTTTTCTAGAGTATTAAAGATAATGTGCCTTAAAGGGATTTTGATTTATACCATTTTTCCCAGCACAATGTCTATTATATAAAGTGAAATAAATGAAATGAGTGTTAAGAGAAAACCTAGTAAGAGAAATTTCTAATCAGTTAGTGTCCCTCCCTTTGTCTCCAGTCCAACTCCCAACCCCGCTGACACTGACTTTCAGAAGACTGATTCACTGACCTTTTGAACACAACACCACACTGTTTTCGAACAGGAGGACAGAAAATAAATTAGTGGAGCAAGAGATTAGTCAGTAGCACTATGTCAGTCTGAAAGTCAGAGAAATCTGTGCAGACTGAGTAGTAAGTGGAAACAGGTCTGGAGAATATATTACAAGGAGGTACCTTTGATTAAACTGCTCTATCATTTTTATGCCTTGGAGTAGTTGGAATCAGTTTTCTTGGAAAATCCCAGAATCTCATCTGTGACTGACTTATGAACAGAGAGAAATGATGCAATAATAGTGTGCTACATACACTTTCCCTTTTGCTGTCTGCCAGCTCAGAACAAGATAAAGTCTTGCAGACCTCTGGGCTTGAACACCAGCTCTAATTTCATTGAATATGTCCAGATAGCCAATCAGTACCAACTCCAATAAAA